TGATTCGCCGCCGCTCTCACCATTTTTGTTAATTTCCTTTAATCCTTGATGTATTGATAGAATATGTATATGTTTATTACGGCGCGTGAGACAGATGTAAGAAAAAAAAGAAACTGCAACCATTCCAGCAGAAATGGAAGCGTAACAAATACAATGCAAAATAGAAGAGGAGATGTGTCCATAAGTTCTCTGCTACTCTCCTATTTGATTCTAATCCTCATCACCAATGATTTTCTTAATTTTTACAGGCTAACCTTCTTTGAACTTTGAATGGAAGAGTCAATATTTTCTAATAGTAAGTGAATTAAACCATCAATCGATAAAAAATAACTACTCGCTACTACTTAGCTCGTCTGATTCAATCCCTTGTTTTTGAAACTGGTCCTTTCAAAATCCTTGTATGGAGATTAAAAGTACCCTCAAACAATTTGTGGAACTGCCTATTGCGAGCGGCCAATCAGAACTGAAGTCGCATTTCACAGTGCACTTAAATTTTCACCAGCGCCATTTTGTAATGACTAGCGATTGTGAAGAGCTGCAGTGGAAGAAAAAAGGATAAGGATAGTTATGCATAAAATTATGTTCTAAGTCGAGCGCTAAGTCGAACAATTACTAAAAACCATCGCAACAACGAGCCGTAAATTTAAAACTACAGAAAAATTGTTCGAAATGCAACAAATAATGGTCAACACTAAACATTCTCGGCAATGTCCACGCTCACAGAGACGATAACTTTCCCTGCAACGGAGCACAAAGTGTGACGGTACCGTGCTCTCCAGGATCCAACTATGAGTTGCTTACCACCACGAAAGTTTTAAAGGTTCTGAGTATTTACGGTAAAGTCGCCATTTTAGGTAAGTAAACACCCTCACTTAATGCTTGTAAGCGATTTCCGAGGAGAACTCGAAGATTTCGCCGTCGGAACTACAAACAGATTACGCACATAGTGCTTTTCAAGCTGGACGCTTTATATTTAACATAAGGCACACTTCAGCGATGTTCCTCCCGTCAGGTCTCGATAACTAGGACTCCTCAATCGCTGCGGAAAATGTACTTGCTTGCAGTGATTAGGAAAGCGGCTTCAATTAGCTAAATGCACTGCTACAGAGGGACGAATTTTACACTTTGCACATTATTATTTTCACTCTCGCATTCAATCCGATGTACCTCTTTCTGAGATCCTAATACACCTTACACCGGTGGGATTGCAGCACTGCAAGCAGGCTCCCTCTTCAAGAGCTGTGAAGTGTGAATTCGTTATTGTGTAAAGGAATGTAAACAATGCGCACAATTCAAACCGTGCATGTAAACACCAGTTTAATGCCATTCAAGTGAAGGAATGTTACAACTACCCCAACACAGCACACCGTGCTTTTTAATGATGTTGGGGAAATGTGAATCATGAGCCTACATACCGTATATGGAGGAAAACTAACACGCTGAACCAGATCATATATTTTCCCCTCTAATTCCTACCCTCAACTGGTTTCAGCCAGTACGAAAAAGACGTATAGAGTCAGGCACAATATCTGACGTGAAATTGTAGCAATCGAACCAGTACTCAATTAAAAAGGTTGAGATATTACTATGTAAAATTTCTGGTATTGAAGGGAAATGCGGGGAACTGGCAAGTAGCGTCGCGACACAATACATATTCCGGGAATAACCGACCAAGTAACCTCAGCACCCATGTTTTCCACGTTCTCAGTACCGATAAATTCGTACCAGACTTGCTTCGGAAAAAAGCAGTGGCTTGCATGTCAGCTAAACCCGCAAGCGCTGCGGAGGCCTTGGATTTGGGCAATTGGCCAGACAGTACAAATCGCCTCCTTTCGGGTAAAAAAAATTCGCGACATTGGCTCACCGTGCTGTGCAGACCGAATAGCTTTAAGAGGACATACTGCTCTACGAGGTCACAAGAGTACAAATCTCAGAGTGGGGCTTGGTCAACAAGAAAACGATGGATTCTTTCTATACTTCAGTGTTGCCCTTATCCTCCAGATATTCCTTTAACCCATAACGGACGGCGTGCGCCACAAGGTGGCGCACGACTATTTCTTTTGTTTTTGGAATGTTTCTAGCAATCTTAATATACCCATATATACTCTCAGCAATGTGGAATAACATATCTTCCCAGGACCTGGACGGCTGGATTTTTGACAAACCTACAATAAATTTTACATACATTTGTCTTAATTTACATAAGTTTACTATTTGATGGGTGGCTTACCCATGGTTCGCACGTCCCGAGACCCCTTCCCCTAAATATAGCCACATCCTTGCTCGGGGTTGTTGTTTCGCATTTTTCGATAATGTCACCTACAGCTTCCATTCATTCTTTGCACCCTAGTTTTAGAGCGGAAAGGCGGGCTACGAACTTGTCGTCAACGGAAATCTCTTTTTTCGGATGATGAGACTCCGACACCTACTTTAGCCCCGTCTTACCCCTGCTGTTCACATAAGCCTACATAAACCCTACCCTGGGTGGCGGCGTGCGCCACATGGTGGCGCACGCGAAAAATACACTGGCCGTCCGTTATGGGTTAACAAGGATTTCAGTGTTTCTATAGTCATGTTCTTACCAGCATACTATTTTAGAACCAGGTGTACAAGAAACTAAAAGCAGAGCAGACGTCGTAAAGATGAAGGGCATGAAGAAGTGGAGAGATCAGTGATTAAAAGGGCAAGCAAACGAGTTGTTAAAAAGATTTCCGGTTCATACGGCGCAATTCGTGCCATTCGCTAGCGTCAAAAATTTGGTATTATTCTGAATCAAAGGGGAATCAAACTAAAATTACTTAAATTACTTATAATTAAATTACTAAATAAAGATCTCGAGAACAAAAGTAAAAGATTTGAGCCGAATGGCAGAAAAAGTAGAATCCCACACCCTAACTACAAACCCCACTTGACGACCTTTGTATTACCGCCTTTTCTTTCACAACTACTCTTTTAAACCGCCTCTAACCTCTTAAAATTTATTCTTTACTAATGGTCAAAAACTACTAAACTAGCTTCAATTCAGACACTCTTTTTTTCGCATTTTTTCCACGGGAGTATCATTTTTCCACTCAATGAAGTAAATGGGCTGCACTAGTTCATTCGAAAAAAAAACGCCATCAAGAAACTTGTGCTATTGGAAACACTTAACCAGCGTCGAGCCAAACCAGCACTGATGAAAGAAAAAATGAAAGAAATTGTTTTCAAAGAGAAGAACGGTATTTGCGAAAGAATGAACTCAAAGAAAAGGAGAACAAGTAATGCGTCAGACGACACTATTTGCCCTTTACTGCCCCACCCCTGGAAATTGAGCCGGATTTTTACTTCATTTGTTCATAAATTCGGATTGAGCTAGAAACTTGCCTACGGCGTACCTCACCCGAACACGAATATCGCACTCGTTTAGCGCGAGAACTTCTGGCGCCCGCGCCACAAGTGTCGGCGCCCAAGAGCACAGTACACCTTAGATCACCAAACTCGCTGGACCTTGTTAGCCAGTAGTTTGACACGCAGAGTAAGATGTCACAGTCATTTGCAAGGGAGCTTCTAGCCTGCGTCACGGGGGCCGACGCAAAACCACTGCGATAGCGCCAGCGATGTGGCGCGGGCGCCAGGCGTTTTCGCGTTGAAGCTTGTGATATTCGTGGTCTACGCGTCCAAATACCATTACCAAATTTTTTTATCGAGGGCAATTTTTGATTGAGATTCGGGCTCAGCTTTTAAAAAGTGGGCAGTAAAAGGTGAACGCTGCCTTTTAGACTAAGATTGAACACATGTAAAAAACTGAACATAGACTTTCCCGACTTGCGCTGCATGAATTGTTCATCAATTGCTATTGGATACCAAGTTGTTCTGTCATAATACGCAGAAAAACTGAACCAGAAAAAAATAATTGTAGCAACGAAAAAAGCATACCATTTGGGACCTGGTACTCTCCTCCGTGAACAAACTGATGGTTAAGGTAGTCAATCGCTTGACCAACCGCTGAGACAAAGTCTCGGGCTTCTTTTTCTGATGAAAAGTTCAAACCGTACACCTAAAGATCATTTTCCGACCAACACATATAAAACATCCTTATATTATTGAAAGGTTAGATCTTCCCTCAGCCAATTTGAATGTCAATCATGGAAAATAATTAACGTACCTGTCGCTGCTCGTCCCGCCACTGATGGAACGTTGGCGTGGCAGTATGATACTTGAGTTTATGATGAATATTGCAGTTTATAACCCAAGCACCATCCTAAACACTAGGACTGTACAGAGAATGCGATGCGCTCAAAACAAACTGAATCAAAAGAGAATATAGAACCTCCTCCGAAGTTACCCGTTTAAACTATCCAGATCACACATGCACTGTTAGCATGAAACCGTTAAACAAAGCTACAGAGACACCTTACACTCATCATTCAGCCAAGTTCACCAACAAATTATGGTGAAATCAGTTATCAGCAAGTCTGTCATAAACCGACAGGGGTCACAAATCATAAATAGAGTCCACCATGAATAGCTCTCCCACAGAAATTTACATCTAGCATCATGGGGTTCATGAACCGTTGAAAAAGGAGAAATATCTCAACAGTACTACGATGTGGACGACAAAAGGGCTGACAGGAAAACTCAAAAGTCAGCACATAAATGAAATCCATGAGGACAATTTATGAAGATCGGGTTCACTTTAAAAATGCATCGACCCGAAATACGAAATATAATACAGGACGATATAATGTCAACAAACCTGTTCCCTAATCGCGATAATTCTGAACGTTTGCCGCACAGCATTGTGCAGAACTTGGGATGCTCGAGATCTGCCCTTCAGCACCATCCGGAGCTTGCCATTTCTTGCGGTTTTCATTGTAGATCATCACCTCGGCTGCTGCAACAGCCATAGACGACTCACTGAAACATCAACAATTCAATCTGTGTCGTAAAACTTCGTCCTGAACATATGCTAAACCTTTAACTATTATAGATCCATATTTAATAGGTCCATAACCAGAAGTGTTCGCATCCATTTATTTCGGCCAGCACAACAGCTTCCTTCCATGATTGGACTAACGCCCACTAGAAATGTCAGTTCACAGAAACGGTTATCACCCAAGACCTTATAAATGATTCAACTGTGAATTCATGGTGCGCACACCAGCCATCCCTTCAATGAAACTTTAACAAAGTTGCGCAGCCGTAACTGTGCGATTGCAAGATTTCGTCACCGCCTATGAATTACTTTGAAGCATTTCTTGCTCACAAGATACAGTTGCAAGCAAAGGCGCTAAAAATGTGTCGACAAATTTTAGCAAACTCTTCATGAGCTCCCTATCCCTGGCCTGATTTCTCATAATCGCCCACTGGAACGTTCGAAAATACTAACAATTTTTATGAAAACGGCCAGAGAAAATGGAAAGTGGATCAAACTCCACAGACCAGTTTACATAAAAGTTTCCAGTACTTGTCTATGGTTGTCACTGAACGAGAGCAGCTCAGAGAATGCACAGACTCAAAGAAATACGAGATCGAAATCACAAGCGTTCCATAAACACTGCAACACATTTCTTATTTTCTAACCTCTCTCAAAGTGGACGTATCTTCAAGTGATCAAACACAATTCTTAGACCGTCCTTAGGATGTTAAAAGGAATGTATTCGTATTTGGTGGAATCAACCCGACAGACAAAAACTGAGTTTGATCATGAGCAAGGATATGCACCATTCGTAACTCCGACCAAAACAGCGCGATTACACACACTTATTCTACAATGAGCAATGGGCGTGGATGACCCTAGTAGAACGTAACTAATATTTGAAACTCATGCGCATAACGAAATGGTATACATGGCATAAAATAGTGTGTTTCGGTTTCGGCCACAGATAAAAGCAGATCAGCCCAAAAAATTTCCATAAAATTTATCCACAGTATCTATTACATTATACAAACCCATAGGCAAAAACACGATAAGCCTGAAGAAGCAAAATCTATCCACTCCTTCAATTTTTCCCCTGTCCGATATGAAATGTGTTGGAGAATATTATGTAGCTGCAGCACAGTATTTACACTGATGATAGAAAGCGAACTATTGATTCTTGACAAAACCAGAAATTCTCAAAAAAAAAAATGTTTAAAGGAATCTTCCGCGGAAAAAGCTCCGCCTCCATTACCACAGAAAAACGATACCCCTTAGGCCCCTAGCCTCATGAGCATAGCAAAAAGAACGGAACATAAGCGTTAGTTTCGATAATACTAATCCTACACACAAGACAAAATGATCACTCTTTCCGTGGAAGATTCCTTTAAGGTATCGTTTTCTGTGGTAATGAGGGCGGAGCTTTTTCCGTGGAGATTCCTTTAACGAAATTATGTTTGAGATTGATGTCTACCGTGCGTTCTTCAGCCCTACTTTCAGCAGCTTGAATAGGAAATGTGCTGACTAGTTTGGCAAACAACGTGCTCACACGGATAACTAGCTTACACGTTTTAATTAAGAACAGCACAACTAGCTCGACCAAAAACTGCAAATCTTTTCACATAAATTCTTCGTAAGCCTTACTGGATGGAACTCGATCTCACCGAGGTGGTCTCTGTACACACAATTTTTTACTCTCACCCTTATCCCAACAATACAGGTGGATAAAAACATTGCGTGCATGTCTAATAATGGAAGGATGAAGCTTTTGGTGTTGATCAATCCCTTTGCAGAATGAGTCACGCATTCTACTCTGTCCTGAACCGTGTTGACAACTGAAATCGATACGGCCTATACTATACGTCGTGTGGACCAGCCGAGTGTAACAGTTCGGTATTTCTACTGCTACTGAAATCGTTACCGTGTTTCACGGGACACAGGAGGATGGCACGACTTGGTATAGCCTGGCCTGTTCGGGATTCGGTTGCGCACTATTGTGCAAATAAATAAATAAATAAATAAATTCGATTCGGAGTTTCGTCGTCAGACCGTGAGCATGGAAGGTGCCGCCTATCTGCATGACCTACGCCCTAGGACGATTAGTACTTCGGAATTGAAACCTCCCAATTTAAAATAGTATTACGCGTCAAACAGTATCCTATTTTCACTGCTGAAAGTCTAAATGAATGGTTCAACGTTCGTCGAGCCGGTTCGAATTTCGAGAGTATGGAAAAGGTCCATGTCACTAGGTCAGTTGAAAAGGCCAATAGAAAAAAGATTATGGAATGTAAGTGTCATGGAATATAGCACACGTCTCTGTCCTCGAAACTGGAACGGGTTACCCTCGGAATCTTCCCTCGCAAAGGCCTCACGTTGTTGACATAGGCTAATGCGATAACTCGATCGCGCTGGCCCTTGATTGAGGCCATCAAAACCAAGACACATCTCCCATGTGGTTTGCATACTACGTAACATGATTCGTAAAGAACATTATACGAAACATCGCATTCAAACGCCACTACGAATGTACAAATGGAAGTAGAATGCGTGCCGCATCCCAAAAAGGGATTGATCAACGGCAAATGCTTTATCCTTTTATCCTTTATTCGGAGAAAACAGCTGGGAGCGATTGAAAATATAATGATAAATAAGTAAACGCAGAAAATTCTACAGAAAAATTCTACAAAAAAAAGAAAGGAACATTTAGTTGTCAACACTCACCCCATCTCCGATGTTGGAGAGTGAAACACTGTTCACCAGCGAAAATTAACCAAATGGTAGAAATTTCTTAGTAGTTCTAAGCTACGGACAATGCTATGCTATCCATCAGCATAACAATGTTATCCTGCCGGCCTGAAAATTGGACGTATATTGCAGGTTGGATTGTCTTGGAGCGAAAAAGCGGAACATTCGGGAGCGTGACTAATGGCGGAAGAATCCATTCTATGAAAGAAGAAGAAAAAATCAAGGCATCGGAATAACGAAGGAAATGATTGGTGGCTGCAATAGTAAAGAAAAACCTGACCTTCTAAGCCATTACACAGAAACTAATTGAAAAGGATTTTGAGAACGAATCGTGAGTAGAGTATTTCTTGTAAGAGACCAGAATCTGAACACTAACAGGTGACTGCAAAGACATCGAGTCAACAACAAGCGAGCAACAGGCAACGAGAAGAGAAAAAACTTTTGTTTGCTGAAAACCGCCACAAATGCTATATTTGACGACGACACACCTACTTACGCGCGTAAATTCCAAGCCGGCAAAGAGGGCTGTGTTTGATCCCGCAGCAGAATTCACGGGTTGAAATTGCAAATTCTTTTGTTGCAACCTTTTTTCGGGTAGGGTACGAAGTACGGCCAACTGGAGTGTAGCTTGATAAGAAGTATTGATTTCAATGTTGGAGAGCATAAAGAAGAGAGTG